GGCTCGGCCCCCAGGGTGCATGGAGACTGCAGTTGAGACTGGGTGTGGTGACACATACCTGTAATCCCAGTGCTTGGGAGGTTGAAAACAGAACAATCACTACAAGTCTGATTTATGTAGTGAGACCCTGTCCTAAACACATTTTTAAGAAATAAAGCCTATAAATTTATTTATTTATTTATGGGCAATAAATTTAAGGATGGAAAAATTCCCCCTAGCTTTGGTGATAATGGAAGAGCCCTTGGAGTGAAGGATGTTTAGGTTTAAAACTAGAATAAGCTCATGATTAGAAAGCTTGTTTTCAGAAATCTGCATTGGTGGTACATGTGTGCATCTTTTTATGAGTTATTCCTGCTGAGTTATTTATTCCCTTCTTTCTTTCCTCCCTCCCTCTGCTTTCCCCTCCTTCTTTCCTTCTTTCCTTCCTTGCCTCCTCCTTCCTTTCCCTCCCTCCCACCATTCTTTCTTCATTCCTTCCTTCCCTCATCCCTTCTTTCTTTCCCTCCTCTCTCTTCCCTTGTCTCTCTCTCCCTCTCTCTTTCACAGCACCAGTGATTATAGCCAAGGCCTTCCCAATGAGCTGCACCCCAGCTGTTTATTTACTTGTCTATTTTTGAGACAAGCTCTCACTAAGCTGTAGCTAAGATGCCCTAGTGGGACTCAAATTAGGGTCTCTCCTGCCTCAGCTTTCCGGGGTGCAGGAATCATAAACATTTGTCAACACACCTTTCTTTTAATGTAGAAAAAGAATGGAAACTAGGTTCTCCATGTACTGTTGTGCACCTTACGGCTTGAATTTGGTGGCTTACCCAGGTAATAAGTATGACTGATGTATTTCTCAGAGGTAATGCTTTTGTGCATTCCTGCTAAGGAATCTGAGACTATTTCACAGGTGCTTCCTCTTAGGGTAATGACAAAAGTTGTTATTGCAAGGATATAGAACTGCTTTTCTTCCAGTGATTTCCACAGTAGTTACACCAAGTAAATAAAAATTTATTTTATATGCTTAAAAATATATCAATTGAGAATTATTTAAAATTTAAAATTAACAAATGTACCACAGTTATATGCTATGAGTGAAGTTAGCTGTGATGGCGCAGCACAGTTATCTCAACCTGATTGCATTCGGGGCCACCTAGGAGGTTAGAAGGTCATGCTGCTGGGCATATCTGAGTGGACCCTGCAACCTGGGCCCTGAGAGCCCTACCTGGTGCCCATCTCCTTGCTCTGGCACTCTCCTCTTGCTCCCATTCCCTACCCTCACAAAGTGAGCATGCATTCTTTGCTGTACCTTTCTACCATTTTTTTTTTTTTGGCCTTATAGCCAGTCAACTATGGACTGACCTCCCTAAAACCGTAAGCCAAATGAAACTCCTCCTAATCTTAGCTGTGGGTGTTCAGAGTTGTGCCCAGCAATGGAAAAACTGAAGAATGTTTTGGTCAAGTTAATTTACTTATGGGCTGAATTTAATGCTATGAGTTCCCATAATGTATAACGTTACCGTGCATCCAGACATTGATATTATAGAATATATAGAAAGTTTAACTAGAAAGCATAATCTTAATAATTAGAAAGCTTAAATAATCTGTAGTTATTAGAAACCTAAGGTGGACCTACCATGATTTCCCTAGCAGAAAAATGTATCCATTTATTCATGCTTCTACTCTTATTCCTCAGCATCTTTTCAAAGCACTGCTCTTCTCTTCTTCAAAGTTTCAGGGAATATAGAATTAGAAGAGGTCAACGTATGAGGCTTGCATTGCACAGGATTGATTCCCTCCCTGTCTCAGTGTTCTGTGGCTACTTAAGAATCATCAGAGAGCACTTATGCTTTCTACAAGAAGCCATCTCTCCTCTCCGCACTAAACTGTGCTATCAAGTGGCACTAAAAATAAAATTACATATTAAGCCCATATATGAGCCAGGAAGCTTTTACAATTTATCATAATGTGTTATTAATTTACATATAAAATATAGAGAAGTGAAGCAACTCACCCAGGGCCACAAAGATAATGCGAGGTAGAGTCTAGTACAAGTTCAGTGGATGTAATTCCAGATCCTACAAATGATTTTAGTGCTGCAGAAGACATTCTCAGTCTTCTTGTTAGTATATTCTCACAATTAGGCTTAAACAATCACGAATAAGTGTTTCTCCACGCAGACTCAATGCATCTCAAAACTGTCTTATAAGTGACCCATTTCCGAGTTTCTGGGCCATATTTTATCTGTATTAATTCTTTAACAAACTTGGTAATTATTGAATCTTAAACAGAAATTGGATTCAACACTTTTGTAAAGAGAATGCCTACCATATTTGGGATGATATCATTTGTAAATATGTTAAAATTTTATAACTACAAAAATATTGCACCTTTTACCTCTTCAGTTGTAAAACTAAGCTGTTAATTAGTAGCACCTAGGCTTCTAGAGATGACACATTTAAAAAAAATCTTTTATTTATTTATTTATTTATTTATATGGTACAGGGTCTCACTACACAGTTCAGACTCATAGTGATCTTCCTGTCTCAGCCTCCCCAGCACTGGGATTACAAGTGTGTGCCAACCTTGCTCGGTTTTGGTGGCAGGCTCTGTGCAGGCCCAGCATGGCATGCGGTACTGGGGATTGAACCCAAGTCCTCATGTTTAGTAGGCAGGTGCTTGGAAAGCGGAGCTATCTCCCTGGCCACATAACACATTTTTAGATGATGCACTCTATTATAAACAGGTTCTGAGATTGGTTATTAGATCCAGTGGGTCATCTATTTTGCTACTAATGGAAAGTTTCATGTTTCTTACATACAGATCATGCTATCTGCAAACAGGAACAATTTTTTTTTCTTCATTTCTAGCAGTTCTTATTTCTTTTCTGCTGTCCAGTTGTCCTGGATAGGACCTCAAATATTATGTGCTCAGCATACTTTCATCTTCAGTGTGGTGCAAGAATTTGAAGAGAGCTGGAGTTAATTCTCCTTTAAAGGCTGGTTGGGTTCCCCAGCGAGCCATCTGGCCCCGAGCTTCTCTGTGCAGGAAAGCCTGATGCAGACTCCATATGAGTCTATTCAGACTCTTTTGGATTCTCCAGATTTTTTTGCAACCAGTTGTTTCGAATTTTGTTGTATAACAGTGCTGGAGGTCGCCATATTGTTTAGTGTTCCTTCTTTCTCATTTTGCATTTTTAAAAGTAAGTAATTAAAAACAACAAAGGGCAGAAAAGAAATACTGCATTACCCTTCATAAATGGTCTCTGATGTAAAATTTAAGTTAATCAATGTGAAATCATTTAACAAGTATTAAACTTATTAACAGCTAACATGACTGCTCTGTTTCAAAGCAGCCACATAATTTCTTTTGCATACTTTCTGTGACATAGTTAGAACATTCCTAATGAATTCAGTGAATCACTTCATTCTTGAAAGAATACCTCTTTGCACTCAAGATTTGATGTCTTCTGTTTGGCTTCAGAAAATAGCACCACTTTTTGTTTGTTTATTTATTTACTATCGGGCACCTCTTTTTTTTGTCATATCCTGTTGGCATTCCCCTGCAGAGAACTTCCTAGAAAGGAGTTCATTTTGTTGCAATTGGAAATACTTTTGTCCAGCCGTAAACGCAGAATAAAGGACAGAACTAGACACACTATGTGAAAGCATCCAGTCTTTACATTCATGACAGATTTTTGTCTGTCTATGTATGTGTGTATGTGTGTCTAATGATGAGTTGGACTATTGTATTAAATAGTCCAGTGATGTTTTTGGCCAGAACTTGGAATAGTGGGGAAAATATCAAGAAAAACAACTTTTATCAAAAGGCAAATTAGTTTTTGAAGCTGGTGTTAATTGGTAGCCAAGGTGTTTCATTATGTAGCTGAAAATTTTTAACAGTTTTTACTTGGTTACTATGAAAATACCAGCCAGGAGCAAACACGGCAGTGTAAAGGACAGGCCTCCTGTCTCTCTGGCCTCTCCACCAGTGTGTCAGTAACAGAGCCCTGTTTTAAAACAACAATGCGCTGCCTCAAAACAGTGTCTGTGTTGGCTGTTTATTCAATTTTATTTTTGGATTAGAGGCATGTTTTAGAATGAATGGGTCCAGCGAGGATCACTTTCAAACTCTAGGTGTTGTATTTTTCTGTTTTGCAATTCTCGATGTGTGAATGATGCTCAAGACCTTGTTGGGAGAACTGTTTTTACTTTATAACCTAAAACCACAGGAAATGCATGAATTATAAGGAGAGATGATTCCTTTGGATGAAGCAATGAGAAATGTGTTGTTTTGTCTCTGCATGTTGGATATACCTACTGCTGGTTCTTTTCTAAAGAAAAAACACCAAAAGGCCATGGGCAGTGAATTCCAGCTGTTTATTCCCCTTCCTAATAGTAAATAGCATGAAGGAGGTTTCTCTCCACATATAACATATCAACGCCCCTGGGAGTATGTATGCTTTGATACTTTCTCCATTCTGATATTTTAATGGCTGGCTTAGGAAGAAAAAGAAAGAATAAGAAAATGCTGTCTGCTCAGTGCCTCCTCAACCTGTAGACATAGACCCTTGTGCTGCCCCATCCATAGTTACTGTGTCCCTGTTGAGGTCAGCATTCCCTATTTTGGTGATGGATAGGGAAGAGTGTTATTTTTCTGTGGGTCATGTGGCAAAACTGTTGGTTTAAATTACTTGTCAATGGCTCCCAAGCCAAATAATTTAATTACGTGATCATAGTCTTATTGAAGCCTGCACTGTTGATTCTAAAAAGCAAGCATGGCTTGATTTGTTGTCCTTCAAAACAAAAGAACAGGATTTCCTCTTGTCTTGCAAAGTTTTATCCAGGGTTTTATGGGGAAAATGAATGCTCCAGCCGCAGTATTTCACAGGGAGGCTGGGACAATAGCAAACTTGTGTACACTGCTGATCCTTGCTTGCTGGGCGACATGTAGCCCTGGATTTCTGACAATCCTGTGGTTCACTAGAGACCTCTGTTATTCTGTTCATCCTCTCGTAGGCAATGGTTGAGACAGTTAACAACCTCCTTCAGCCACAAGCTCTGAATGCGTGGAGAGACCTGACCACAAGTGACCAGCTGCGGGCCGCCACCATGCTTCTTGACACTGTGGAGGAGAGCGCTTTCGTGCTGGCCGATAACCTTTTGAAAACGGACATCGTCAGGGAGAACACAGACAATATCCGTAAGTGGTCCTTGTCACACAGATGGTGCAGAGACTCTTTCATAGTAGAAAAAGGAAACAAAGAAAGTACCTCTGGCATACAAGATAAGAGTCATGCTTTATTTTGATGGATAACATATTCCTTTTCCTTAGATTAGGGAGGCACCACCTTTTGCCCTATCAAAGTCAAAAGTACATTTATTAAACTTGATAGGACATTAGAGTTTTGGACATATTACCCTGAGATCACTTGCAGTGAGGTCTGTTTACCCTTTGAATTTTTATTTATGTATACATCATTTGTGCTACTTAGTACTGTGTCCTCCTAATGCAGGGCTTACAGGTCATTTCAGATCTATGTTTGAATTACATAGTATAAACAATTAGGTCATTTGAGTGAAGATGAAAAAACAGCAATAGTTTTGTTATGTGGCTTATAAAGAATATAAATTCATATTATCATGACATAAGATGCAGCTGACAATTTTATTTCAGGAGGTTTGTTAAAACCAGTTCACATTTTGTTCTCTTTATTAGCTCACTGTTGGTATGATAGCACAGCTCAGATTATAGAAGGATGTTACTCAATTCATGAAATAAAAATATTCTCAATGTTAACCTAAAGCATGCAGATATAGGCTTGGTTTTTCAATGTTTGATGTTATTAATAGTACATTTGTATTATTTATATGATTTGATAATTTTCTCTTTATTTTGAAAACATTAAAAGAGAAACAACATATGATCTTATAGACTGAACTACATTAGCATGACAAATAGTACAAGAACCCCAGCAATTTGCATTTAGAACTATTTTGGTGATTTGGGAGCTGATCGTAGCCTGGGCACGCTCCTCAGTGAGCACTAATCCCTCTCTGTGGTTAACAGAGTTAGAAGTTGCAAGGCTGAGCACAGAGGGAAACTTAGAAGACCTAAAATTCCCAGAGAACATGGCCCATGGAAGCTCTATCCAGCTCTCTGCAAATACTTTAAAGCAAAATGGTCGAAATGGTAAGTTACTTTATGCTAAATAGTATTGAAATTACATAGGTTTATTGATTTTTTTATTTTGTGGAAGGACAAAACCAAGTTTCATAATGCAATAATAAGAGAATACCAATTGCTAATATAGTATGTATTGTAATCTTTAAAATAGTTATGGTATAAGACAACTCTTGAAGATATAGGCAGAGGCATTGACTTTCTGAACAGAGCCCCGATGGCGTAAGAAATAAGACTGAGAATCAACAAATGGGATTATAGCAAATTAATGTTTCTGCCCAGTAGAGAAAATATTCGCCACAGCAAAGAGACCCCTACAGAATAGGAAAATACTTTCAGCAGCTATTCCTGGGACAGATGATGAAAATGAAGACTATATAAAGAACACAAAACAATAGAATCCCCAGATAAAAGACCCAATAAAAAAATGAGCAACTGAAATGAAAGCCAGTTCACAAAAGAAGTACAAATGTCCAATAAATGCAGGGGAAAAAAGGTGCATTGATTCTTAGCTTTGGGATTATAGATTTCCATGCAAGAGCTTTTCTTTCCTCCTCTTTATAGCATTCTCTTTCTTTATTCCCTCCTCATCTCCAGTGATGCTTTTTCCCTACAGTTCTCTATCAGATTTGGAAATTATTCCACAACTTTGCAATTTTTAAAAATTTGAATGTGTGAGAAATGATGAACACCAAAATCTAGATGATATGATTTTTCCTTGAAAAGAGTAACTCTGCATATGCAGTTTTATCTTACAAAAATTTTAAAGGAAGTTTTACTTGTAATTTTTTTTTTTTTTTTTTCAGTACTGGATATTGAACTCAGGACCCTGCGCTTGCTAGGCAAACGCTTATTCCACTGAGCTATCTCCTCAGCCTTACTTGTTATTTTAAAACATGATTTCTTTTTTATTTCAACATTTTTTGAGAGGATTTCTATACTTTGCAAAACAAACTGAAAATTTGGACCTGGTATATGTAGGTCAGCTCAGCCTACTGTTGGGCTGAATTTATTGAAAAATAAACTTAAAATTCAATAAATAAATTATCATGTAGAAAAAGTAGGTCCTAAGCTTCATATAGCTTGAAATTATAAAACACATTTTTGCCAAGGCAGCAGCCAACTGTGAGAGGATGGGAAGATAGCCTCAGGGTGAAGCCACCAACTCAGGACAGTTGTGTGTGTCTCATGACTGTGTGTATAGTTCTTACAGGAGGAAGACGCTGTTAAGTAGTAAGAAAATTCATACTTTGTCATCAAAGTAAAATGCTTTATAAGTGCTAGAATTCTTAGAAGATGGGAACCATATGTAATTATTTTGTCAATTGGACTAAAATAATGTTAGAGGCATCCGCATGATGAGACATAGCAAAATCTTGTTCCTGAGTTAGCTTCCCAATTGGCTTCTCTGCTTCTGTGGTCGCTTCTGCCCTCTAAGAACATTTCCTGTTGAGAGAGGATCCTTCATAAAGTAGGTAGCTCAGCCCTAGGGAACACCTGAATGGATCTGCACCTCACCTCGTCCTGCCCTGTCCCCAGTCTACTCCTTCTGGCCTTGTTCACCTCAGCTCTGTATCTTCACCATGTTTTCCTTCATTCAAGTGGATAGCCTCAACACTTTTCCTGGCCCACAATGCACATGTTCTCTATCAGAACTGTTTTGGTTACATTTTCTTTTCTTTGTTCTTGAAATGCAATTTCTATATTTATTTACACAATGACTTGTACATTCACTTTTTTTTAAATGCATTTGGCACCAGGTCTCACTGTGCAGCTTGGACTCATAGCTATCCTCCTGTGTTCTGCCTTCCCAGTTCTTAGGTTACAGGCATTCACCCCCACACCCAGTCACCATGGCTGGCTCAGCATGCTGAGGGTGCTTAACCTGAATGGCGTGTGAGGCCAGGGATCAAACCCCAGTCCCTGTGCTTGCATAAGCAGGTGCTTACTCTGCTGTGCTATCCTGATGGCCCTCTCTTTACTTTTTAAAATAAATCATACTTCTTTAGGGCAAGTCTTTATCTCTTTAATATAGACCACTCTTTACCCATTAGCCATGCTAATGCCAGTGTGTATTCATAATATTTAACTTACTTGCCATTACAAGCTATTATATTGTTAAACTTCCTCCTTGTTGTCTGATTCTCCATGAGAGAACGGACCTTGTTGATTCTTGTTACTGATGTGATTCTAGTGCTTTACACAGTGCCTGGGCACAGGAGAGTACTCCCTGAGGGTGTATGGGAGATGTGCATGAATTTTCAGCCTCGAAGTGAAGGATGATTGTCATATGTGCAAGTTCATCACAGTAGCATGGTGTTCATTTCTTTTATTCTCCACTACATTATTGTACAGGTTTTTGTTGGTTTTGTTTCGTTGGTACCAGGGATCAAACTCAGGACCTTGTTCTTGCCAGGCAGGAGCTTATGGTGCTGAGCTATCTCCCCAGCCCCTGTATAGGTGGTTATTTTCAAGTCATATGTAAGCATACATTTTGAGATGAGGGATCTCAATGCACTGGTGATTAAATGCACTGGTACAATGGGGTGAGGTGGCAACATGGCACTAACAAGAAGAAATTGGAATGACCTGTTGCCAATTAAAATAAAAATTGATAATATAAACAAGAAAAAATAGAAGGCTCTTCCCTCTCTAGCTAGCCTTCCAGAGATCAGCATTTTTATACTAAATCTAAAGGGGAAGAACACTCCATTGCAACAGATAGGACGTACCTGGTGAGTTAATATTTTTCAGTCTGTTATCTCTATAGATCTCTGTTAACAGACCTGGGTTGGGTCAGAATCCCTCCTTCTGATGTGCAGCCTTCTTCATGATCTTTACTGGATGATGGAAAGCGTGATGGATTCCGTGTGCAGCAGGCCCAGGAGTCAATGAGGCGAGAAGGCTGAATCAGCCAATAGGGAACCTACATCACATATCATGGTGGCCACACTGAAGTCTGGGTGCAGCATTTGTGCTGCTGCTGCTGCTGCCGCTGCCTGTGCTGTTACCACTGCACTCCCTGCTTCACTGGGTCGCTGAGCTCTCATCCAGAGTCTGAGGCCACTGTGTCTGATTGGGTACATCTCACTGAGGTTCCCAGAGAACCTCTCTGCAAGGGTAACTGGGAAAACAAGCACATATGCATTTTGCATTTCCAAATCCCTAACGTGAGAGCACAGTATGGATATTAAACAGCCACCTTCTTCAAAAACTGTTTAGTCTGTCTTCTCACTTGACCATAAGAGTCTGAGATGGGAAATGTAATTTCCTCATTTTTAGTAACCATGGAAATAGAACAGTGTCTTTCTTGGTAAACTGATGTGGTTTTATATGGATAGATGTAAGGCAAGACCTAGAAAACTTCCTGATGTCTCTTACATTCTTTTCTTCCTCTTTGTATCACAGGAATTCTTTCTCATTTCTCTTTCTGTAGACAAAAGTATGCTGTTGTTAGAGTTCATGTAGCTGGAATCAGACAGAATGTGCTTTCTTTAGTGTGAATTCTATAACTAAGCTAAATATTCTGGAGCTCCAGTCACGAAGTATCATTGGGCAATAGTTTGTTGATGCAAACTATGGTATTATTATATTATTATAACTAAATTATAGTATATATATTATAATAGTATACAGTATCCTAGAAATTAATATTCTTTACTTGTTTCTTCTCCCATTTCAATTGTGTTCACTTTTGAGAAATACAGATACTGGGGCCGGGGAGATGGTTCGGTAGAATAAACACTTGCCTGGCAAGTGCAAGGGCCTGAGTTCAATCCCCAGTTCTGAAAAAAAAAAAAAAAAAAAAAAAAAAAAAAAAAAAAAAAAAAAAAGAAAGAAAGAAAAAGAAAAAAGAAAGAAAAAGAAAAAAAGAAAAAGAAAGAAAGAAATACAGCAACTATATTCTGCAAGATTTTGTTCCTTTGTGAATATGTGCTATTACTTACAGAAGACGGACCATACCTCCTTAAATTTACAAGACACTGACAAATACTTTTCTACATGTGTAGTTGGAACTGTTTTGCCCTCCCTCCAGCAGTGCACAGGAGTTCCACTCTCTCCCTACCCGGGTTGTCATCCATTCTTTTTAAGGAGATTAGTTGTTATAAAATCCCAACCTCAACCTGTCTTGATTTCCATTTCCCTAATTACTGGTGAAGCTGATTCTTTTTCGAGTGTCCACTGACTCTTCATTTCTCTTTTTTCCTAAAATTATATGTGTTTGTGCTTTATCACTCGAAAATATCATCTACTATTTTATTGACAACAGAAAACTTCATATATTTATTAATCCTGTTTTCCCTGTTTTGTGGTTTGCTTTAGTTCTTAATGTACTTTGATGCATTCAAGTAGTTGGTTCTGATAAAGTTCAGTTCTCTATCTTATGTTTATGAGTCCTATACATCTCATGTTTTTCTTCCTCAGAGAATGAATGTATAATCCTGTGTGTCACTCTATAATGTTTACAGTTCTGGTTTTTGTGTTCAGTCTATGACCATCTGGAATTCAGTTTTGAGTATGGAATGAGAGAAAGATGGAAATGAATTTATTTTCAAGTGCTGATAGGTAGTTATTTCAGCAAACGGTGACTTTGCACTTTGGACCAATAAAATAAATGCGAATTTTGTGTGTATGATAGCGCATGGTATACATATTCAATTACTATCTAGCTAGAACTAAATTAGGCAAAATGTACACAAGAATCAGAGTACTTTCCACTTCATAATTCACATTTGCATTCATTTTAGGAGAGATCAGAGTGGCCTTTGTTCTCTATAACAACTTGGGCCCTTATTTGTCCACGGAGAATGCCAGTATGAAGTTGGGAACTGAAGCAATGTCCACAAACCATTCTGTTATTGTCAATTCACCAGTCATAACAGCAGCAATTAACAAAGAATTCAGCAACAAAGTTTATTTGGCTGATCCTGTGGTATTCACTGTCAAACATATCAAGGTAAGAAAAAGGCATGTTGAATTCAGTTGTTCAACATTATCCACATTCATTACACATGAATATTAGATGGGTTTTTATTTTAATAGTATTTCTGTTAGTTTCTGCAATCACTTCTCAGCCTTTTGGCTAAGATCAAGTGTAGCTTCATGCAGCAATTCATTATCCAAAGATGTAGAAGTGATTTTTTTTTCAGAGATAACTTATATTCAGAAATTTATATAATTTATTCAGAAATAAATTATAGCTGCTTTTGCTAGAAAAATAAGGAAAGTAAAATGCATATGGAAGTGAGGTTATGGATGGTAATTTTCTCTAATATAGTAATCTTTTAGCTAACTGTGTATATTGTATGACATTATATTTTATATCTTAAACATATGCACTACAAGGGCCAGGGATATAGCTCAGTGGCACAAGCACTTGCCTGGCAGGCACAAGGTCCTGAGTTCAATTTCTGGTGGCAAAAAAAAAAAAAAAAATACAATTCATCTTTTGAAAAGAGCTAGCAATATATTAAATGGAACTGTACAGGCTCTCATATTGGAAAATACAAGTGGCTATGTCTTTTGCAAAGATTTATTTTTGACTAAATACCAAGATTGATTGCAGTTGTAATTCCCCAAAGATTTCTAAAAGGTGGCTTCAGAACTTCAGTTCATTTCAGAAGTTGTTTCCCAGAATTAACTTACTTGCTTTGAACTGATGGTAGCGGATATGTTTCTGAAACACTGATACTAACATTCTTTCAATATTAATTTTTTAAAAATCAATAATTTAAAAACTTCTCTAATAAAACAGAAAAAAATAGTCTGTTTTTCTTTTGTTTAGAATTAATGAGGATCATTTGATATGGAAACCAACAAGGCCACAGGAATTATAGCAGAAAAAGAGCTGTGTTGTGTGTAAAGGGAATGCCTACTTAATTTACATGAAAATGAAGTGGGTTTTTTTTTCTTCCTTTTATCTCTTTATTTTATTTATTTATTTGTTTCCTTGTGTTTCCACTCTAGCAGTCAGAGGAAAATTTCAACCCTAACTGTTCCTTTTGGAGCTATTCCAAGCGCACCATGACAGGCTACTGGTCCACACAAGGCTGCCGGCTCCTGACAACCAACAAGACCCACACTACTTGTTCTTGTAACCACCTGACCAACTTTGCAGTTCTGATGGCTCACGTGGAAGTCAAGGTAAGATCTGGGCAGAAAGGGTAAGAATGCTTTTGCTCACAGCCAGGTCGCTGGCTACAGTCTTGGCCACAAGAGCTTTCAGGAGTTTCAGTACTTTTTGACTTTCATAGTAACTCTTGTCTAGGAACTGTTTGCTAGGCATTCAAGACATATTGTTTTGGATGACCCATAAAATTGAAGTTTGCTTAGTAAATTTGTGCTAGTTCTCCATTTTTATTTTGTCTTTGTTTTTCCTTCATTAATTTTATTGAGAAACAAATAGCAATGAGACCGTTTCAAGACCGATTAATAGGACAGTTTCAATAATTAATACATTGCATATTGTTGTTTTCATAGTGGTTATTCATAGTACAAGATGCAGACATGATATCCTGTCCAAATGTTATTAGTAGAAATTTTTCTTCTCATTGAAGTAAGAGAAAGTAGTTGTATATTTATCCTAACTTTTGTATATACAGATACAAAATGGTCCTTCATTTATATCCCCTTTTTTTGTTTAGTTTTGTCAGAGATGGGTATTCCATTCTCTCAGGCTTTCACAGAGAGCAAATTGGTCAAGCAATGGCCATGACTCATCCACATGGCTGACACTGACAAAGGATCTACAGACTGTGGTACAGGGTCTCAGGCTAAATTCGAGGGCATTTGACTGACCTTGTCAGAGACAAAAGTTACATTTCTTGTTATATAGGTCTTGCTTTATCTTGGTCTTAATCATCCAGCAGAAAAGTATAATAGCAAAGTATGAAAAGTAAATCCATACTAATATTCTGAGCTTTGAAAGGCCCAAGTCAACAACTTCTGACATGGCCAATCCTATGCATAACCCACTACTATTATGGACTACTGGAGTATATTGGATTTTTTTTGCTGAATCCATGCACCTCCATTTTTATTTTGTATAAGTAAATGTCAGAAAATAATGTACAAAGAGGGTAAGATAATACACTAGATACAAAGGCCAGTGGGCTTGGATTACAAAGCTGGGGTTGGGTTAGTCAGCAACTACACAGGACTGAGCACACTGCTATCCAGCTGACTCAGGAAAGGAACTGAGAAACACAAAAATGGAGAACAGCAGCCCAGAAGGCTCGGCAGCCTCTATGGAAGGTCAATGAGTTCCTCTGAGTCCAGAGGACTGTATACTAAAGGAAAATCCAGGTGTTGCCCAGGCAGGCACTGACTAACTTAGCTGCCAGGCTCTTCCCAGTGTAAATGGCCCTCATGTAGCGAGAACTAAGAGATGGACCCCGTGAGTTTGCATTGTGAGAGACCTCTGGACAGTGGCAAAGAACCGAGGGGTGCTCCGGTGCAAACCTAGGAGTCCTAAGCAGGAAAACTCAGCTGAAAGCTGTATGCACGTCAGTAAGATTGAAGCTGAGATACTCAGTTTAAAGAGACGTACCCCATTTGAAACTTCAGGTTTGTTCTAAGCCATTCAGGAAACACTGTGAAAGCTGGTATTTTCTGTTCTGCATCACGGCGGGTCAGGAACTACGGTTGACTTAGGTCTACATTTTGAGTCCAGCCAAAAATTATAGTTGAACAAATACTAGATTATATACAGTGTATGGCACTGAAAAGTTCTGCTTTTTAAACTTTTAAACAAGTTGCCCACTCAGAGTTACTTTTCTAAAATTGTATGAAGTTAAAAACTAAATTGATTATAAGTACAATGTTAAAATATGGTTTTTTATGGGTTTCTTTTGTAATTTACATATTTCAAAGAGTATCATAAAATTATTAGTCTCATATAATTGATAAAAGATTATTTTTCTTTAGAACTACCACTGGTATTTTTACTTTGTTAGGTAAAATGCTCAACATTTAGGTAAAATGTTGCATCAACGTTTTATGCAAAATTCAAAGCTTCATTTTCATAGCATTTTATATTATTGTACTACCATGTATATTATAGATATATATATTTCTTCTTTTATATATATATGATTGTAGAAAGAAAATGAAAACTAAAACCTTTAACTGGATCTGGAAAAAACTGAACATTTTTTCATAAAATTAACTAAAATTTTTAGTGTAGATATTAATGTTACTTAATTGTTCAGAACAAGCAATTGGCAGATGGTACTTTCAAGGCAGTTATCTTTTCAGGCATAATGAAATGTGAGACACCATGGAATTTTAACCATATGTTTTAGTTCAGCCCATATTTGTTAGTATGTAATGCAGTAATAAATAATAATAAATAGTAAAAGATGCTGGCTTTAAGAGATTTAGTTCTTTTTAAAAATAAAATTGAGCCAGGTATGATGGTGCATGCCTGTAATGCCAGCACTGAGGAGGCTGAGGCAGGAGGATCAATGCAAGTTTGAGGCCAGCCTGAACTACATAGCAAGACTCTTGTGTCAAAAAAATAAGACAAAACAAAAAAATACAAACCTAATGTAAAGTCAGATAGATAATGAGATTGTAATAAGGTAATGATAAAAACAAAGTTTACTGTGATGTGTAGCTTCTACCCTTTCTCACAGTGTGCTCTGACAAAACTGCAAAGGTCAGGAAAATTTCTTAGAGATGATGGTTTGCAAGAGGCAAATAAAGAGATGAACAAATAAGTTAAATTGTGGGGGACAAGTGTGGAAACAGTAACATGAGTAGAACACAGAAAATGGGATATGTTGTGGTGTGTTGTACATGGTGTGAGAGGTTAGAACAACCGTACTGTATGCATTGTGTGACTGATCAGGAGTTGGAGATGAGCTGGGGTATGCTCCCAGGTGGTGGTCATGCAGGGCCTCATTGAGAGACTCAGATGGGCCTCACGTCTACACACAGGCAGCAGCCAGCATGGATGTTCACGTATCACAGGTTGCAATGTCTGAATATTCACTAGTAACAAGGACACCTAATGGAAATGCAATACATCCTGACCTAGGAAAACTGAACTCTATGATGGCTGAGAGACCTCAGTCTTGAGCTTTTCTTAAAACATCTTTTATATTTTTTATTATTTATTTGTTACACAGGGCATGTGGTACCAGGGAGCTCACCTAGGTACTTGTGCTTAGACCACTGAGCTATCTCCCTAGCCCAAGTCTTAAGATTTAGAAATCTCAGCAACTGGAGACACAGCCCAGCACTAGACCTTGGTCAGCAGTGTGAGCCCTAGGTTCCACCCCAGCACTGCCCATGCGTAGACTGAACTGAGAATTTTCAGAATCCCTGGATTTCTGCACACACACAGCAGTGTGGGATGAGGCTGTATGACTCTGTCACTGCTGTACTGTATTCCCTCAAAGCTCTGTGGCCTAGGTGTAGGGTCCCTTTCCCAGTTACCTATTAATGAGTTTTTGAGGTTATTCTACAAGCAACTGAGAAATAATTGCTGACTTCTACACAATAATGGTGCTGCCTTACTTTGCATTGTACACATATCATTCCTCCTACTATGTGGATGATGGATGTGATAACTGCTAGACTACCGCATTTTGACAAGAATTTTAAGTCCTCATAAAGGAGGGCTTTATGTAGGATGTACACCTCAGCTGTCACAACTACCTGGAACATAAAAATACTATACCTTGGTTATGGAGATGGATAGATGAATTAGCAAGAAGAAAATATATCCTGGTGAGTTTTTATCCCCCATGTCAGTAAAGTTAAAGGAAGTATTAATGTTCAACACACTTGAAAATGCAAAAACTGTGGCAAAGTTTTGCCTTCTTTATATTGCCAGTTCAAATCTGTTCTTCCAAAACTTTCTTTGATTAGACATTAAAGACAGTCCAGAACCCTCAGGTGGGAGCACTCCCAAGCCCAGTTAGCAACAAGAACAATTTTCTTAGCTTTGTTCACACGATTCAAACTTCCGTCTTCCACAGACTATGAATCCAATTTTATCAAAGCTTCACGATGGATCTACGTGAGCTGTACTACTCAGAAGTGAGAGATTTAAATCCAGAATGAGTTAATCTGGCTGTGGGACTCCACGCATCAGTCGAGGGAATGAACTCAGAAAAAATGGACCACATTTGAGGCAATAACAAAATAAATATTTTTTTTCTCAGTTCGTTGCCTACCAAGCTTGGCCCAGTCTATTATGTGAGAGTCATGACTGTGGACACTACTGTAGGTCCACAAGAGACAAAGCAAGTGAAAAATTAATGCATTCCCTTGTCAGCTGGTCAACCAAGACATGTGTCTTTGGGTTCTCCTATCATAGTCTCTTGTGGTGGCCTCTATTTTGATGCCACAACTTGAGTTTGACATTTTAACGATCAAAGAAAAACAGAAAATAAGTATTCATCACTAAAAGTGAAAAAGAAATATGCTAACCAAATTTAAATTATATTAATGTCTAAAATAGAACACTAATTTATTCATGCATAATAAAAAATGTAGCAGTCAGTTGCAGCAGATATTTATATTCCTACTTATTATTTTCTGAATAGTAGAAAGCCTATAAAGAAAATAAAATTGCATGGGAAAATTCCATTTTATGAATTTGGAAAAACAGAAGAGTTTGGTAAAAAATTTTGACTGCTAATAACATCAAATTGTCATGTGCAGCTGTGTCCATCTTTGCTGCAGGTCTCTACCTGTGCCCCCAGTCACCCTTCTCTGTCACTTACCTGCATTGTCTCTACTACTCAGTCAGCATTTTCTTCAAATTTTGCCCACATTTTTTTTAGCATATAAGATAAGCATCCTAAAAATATCAACATATTGCCTACTCAGGGAAGGCTTTTTTTTATTTTTTTAATGTATTTGGTACAGGGCCTGCAGGGTCTACAGGGTCTCACTACATAGATCAGACTCATAGTCATCCTCCTGTTTTCAGTCTCTCATGCCCTGGGATTACAGGTGTGCGCCACCATGCCCAGTCTCAATCTCTGTGTCAAAGTACCCTGGGGACAAGGCCTGCACGGCATGCC